AAGGGTTTAAACCAAGGAATAAATTGCACAGTCAAAACTGATGCACAGCTACCAGCCAGAAGCAAAGCACAGACATTTGCTGTCTCATATGAATGTGAGAATGACCACGCTGCATCAGAGTCAAGGTCCACCTGGTCAAGCATCCTGTTGCCAGCAGTGTCCTGAAAGGCGCCCCAGAGAAGCCAGCAAGCAGGCCCTGCAGACGAGAACCCTCACTGACTGACTGACTGACTGTTCCCCAGAGTGTGACCATCACAGGTATTCAACCTCTGAATCCAGAAGTCCCATTCAGCCATCATGGCCCACAGCCAACAACAGACCTCGCCTCCGCAGGTTGCTCCAACCAATGCTCCCTCTACGCTGTGGAGTCTTGTGAGCAAAAACTCTACTTTGTGAGCTACTGGCATTAAAGTCGTGAGCGAGCAATTTGGCTACTGCATAAATTAGCTTGCTCTGGAGCCGTCCTTCCTGAGCTAAGACACAAATGTGTGCACCGGAGGCTAAAATATTGTGAACTAGCTCACACTAACTCAGCTTGGAGAGAACACTGGCTCCGACCCCCCCCCTTAAATCCATGTAAGCCAATGGTCGCCACCGCATCCTGTGGCAATGAGTTCCACAAGTGAAACGCCCATTGTGGGAAGTAGTGGTACATCAGCAGCTTGAACCCAACAATCATTCAACTAAGAACTACATTAACGTTCTTCAAAAGCCAGCATAAGCACCGCCAAAATCCCAACATCAGGTTAAATAGCAGAAACATCTTTACGAAAGAAGTGTTAATACACAGGGCAATGATCATTCACCTGAATGGGCTAAGATACAAAAGGCACTCAGACATTCATTACCTTTTATACGCAACCTGAGTGGGGTGGGGTGCAGTTCCGATTAACAGAACTGGATAAACTTTAGGTAAAGGTAAAGGTTCCCTTGCTCGAAAGCCAGTCGAGTCCGACTCTAGGGTTGCGGTGCTCATCTCCGTTTCAAAGCCGAAGAGCCAGCGCTGTCCGAAGACGTTTCTGTGGTCATGTGGCCAGCATGACTGAACACCAAGGCCGTGCACGGAACGCTGTTGCCTTCCCACCGAAGCGGTACCTATTTATCTACTTGCAATTTCTTGCTTTCAAACTGCTAGGTTGGCAGAAGCTGGAACTAGAGACGGGAGCTCACTCCGTCTTGCGGCACCCGGGTCTCGAACTGCTGAACTACTGACCTTCCACAGCCTGCAGTTCAGCGTCTTAACCACTTGAGCCACCGCAGCTCCTTAAACTTTACAAAGTAGAAAACTTTACAAAGTAGAAAAGTTCTACCAGGACTTTAAACCTGTTTCTATGCAGATTCTACAAGTGGGGAGCTGCGACAAAATGTAGCAGCCTGCATAGCTCTGGCTGGGCCACCTGAAGACAGGTGAGAAAAGGCTCACCTCTGCACCCGTTTCCTGCACCGTTTCCCAGCTTTCCAGCCATCCGTGAGGCATGAGAGAGAGCCCACTGGGGCAGTCATGCTCAAGAGGAGTCTGCATCTGACTTGTTCGAGAAAAGACATTAAGTCCAGGAGGGGCACCATCAGTCCGCTTTGGATGGATTTTGTCCAAGCCCAGGCCATGCCAACGGCATTCTCTGACACCAGAACAATTTCTGCGGCAACTCCTGAACGACCAGGAGACTCACTCCCTCACAGTGACAACATCAACAGGATAATTCTAGAATTAGGAAGGAACACAAATCACTTTGACATAATAGCTGTACTTCCTCTGACAAAGGCACTTCAAAATGTCTGAATGAATATTAAAATGCATCTTTCTGCAGCAAATTGTTCATTATTGAATCATTATCAACACTTGTGATACAAAATTTCTAGCTTCTGCAATGTACAATGTCATTAAAGTGTTTAAGAGCTCCATCACCAAAGGCAGGGGCAATTCATAATCCACTATCTTTCCAGGCAAACATGCTTATGGCTGAACATAATAGACGAAAATAACATCCCGCTGACATACAATTCCCTTTTTAATGGTGCCTGCATGCGCGGACAAATGGTTAAAACCTGAGACAGTAGCATATTTAATGTAATACAATTTTGAAAACTGCAAAAAAAAAAATTGTTATCCTTTGGTAGGGAAATGGGATAGAACAAATAAATGCAAAGCACCAAGATGGAAAAACCCTGAAAAACATAAGAGTGGGACAACACACATAACCCAGCATCAGCCAGCCAGCTGTGCATTTCCACATGGATCAGCCACCTTTCTGATACATTTTTTAAACAGTGAGCATTCAAACTTTCAACAAAAAGAGTAGAAAGCGACACAAACAGAGAACAACAAAAACCTTTTAGTACAAACAGCAGCCTGAAGAAAGCTACCCCCCCCCCCCGCCGCCTAAAAAGAATATGAAAGAGCGGATTAAGAGGGGCTTCTTTAAGGATGATGTCCCCAAGTCAGAGTTGGGGGGGGGGGGCAGGAAGCCAGTCCCAGTGACCTCAGACCGGGAGGCCGCTTGTTGAAAGGCAGTTCCAAGATGGGTCACACCCAGCCTGCAAAATTATACCCAGGAAGCCAGGGCAAGTTATTAGGTACTCTCATGTACACACACACGCATCTGCGGGCTGGATCTCCCAGCAAAGCCAGCTCTTTTAACGACAACTGTCTCCACTGGCACCATGAAAATAACAAGGCATCTAGCACTATCTGGACACACGTGCAAAATGAAACTCTGGAGAAGATACAGCCCTTTTTAAAAAAATGATAAAACAACAAAGAACGCAAAGAAGGGATTAAGACAAAACACCAACATTAAGTTAGAAGTTAACTTGAAATGGGCACGTCTTTAAAATACTGGTCAGAGTCAGGACATCCAGGTCTCCGCCCACATATGGCCGAAAAGGCACACGTTGATGCGGCCACCGTGCCGAGAAGAAGCTTGCCTGCCTCTGGTCAGTGGCTGGAGGAGAGAGCCCGCTCCTAGCTGCCCACCACCACCACTGTGTACCAGCTTGAGTGCCATGATCAAACCAAGGCTGGAGCTATATGAAGCAAAAGGTGAGAGTTCTTACTTTGAAAATGCATGGCCAAATTGGATTTGCTATAGATGTTACAATGACAGAATAATGTAGTATAGACTAGAGGTGTGTGGGGGAGTGGGGGATTGGTATTTTTTGGGTTTCGGGTATACTGAGCCTGGAAAATATCAGTCTTTTCCGATATTCCCGAATCCCAATATTGGTATGGCATTGGGATTTGGGAATCTTATTGGAAAATGCAAACTTTTTCGGCTCCATTATATAATAGAGAATCGATCGCTTGCTGAGTTGTACTGCCGCCTCTGCAAGCAGGGCTTGGAGGAGAAGGAATTTAAAGAGACCACAGTCTTTTTAAATGCCTACTGCCTTCTCCAAGTGCAGGGGCAGTGCAACTCACTGAGTCACGCGGCAGGGCTTGGAGGAGAAGGCATTTAAAGAGACCACGATCTCTTTAAATGCCTTCTCAGTATAGCTGAAGGCACCCAAATAAAAGCCAAAAAAATCGACTTTTTTGGGGGGGTCAGCTATACTGGCAGCCGAATACAGATCTCTGATCAGCATTTGGCTTAAAAATATCCGGAAAATATCGGTAAGATTTTTTGAGGGTATTTTTCCAGCTCAGACAAACCGAATGTATACCCCTAGTACAGATCACACAGTCAAACACACTGGACATTCCCTTAAACAGAACGCTGTTAAAAGTTTAAATAGGGCTAAATTCATTTTTGCATCTGGAATTAGGAAGGTGATTGCTTTCTGGTTTTGTTTTTCAAAACACAGAGGCTGAAAATACTCAGCAGCCTTGAAAAATGGCACTTGCGTAGGAGCCATTTACCCCCACCCCCAGCCAGCATGCCATTAATTGGGCGCGAGCAGCAGGCTCACTCCTTCCTCCCCAGCTGACCTCGTCATGCAGAAACATAATATCCAAACTAAAATAACCGGATCTGATTTGAATGCAGGATCTCCACTGTGCCGCGTACTGAACCTTCAAGAGAGAGACAAGGGTCATCACCACCCCGCGTAAGGAAGATGACTTGGCGTTTCCTGGTTCAGACAGTACCTTCTGCACGTGCTAAGATTACTGGAGGAGAAAGGAGGAGCACCTGTCGGCTGATTCTGATCTTATTAGGGATAGGTGGCAGGATTTCCAAAGAGGATACACTGTTTTACACCACTTTTGGGTGCTGGACATTCTCATGTACAAGCATAAGGTGGGCAGCTGTGTTTACAAACCGTGCAGCACAACTGTCCATCTGCCAATCCATGAAACATTAAAACAATTTAAAACAAAAAAAAGGCCCAGAGAAGAGATATCCAGAAGACCACCAGGATTTGAATTTACATAGCCCATGTAAGACTGCTATGGCAGTTTTCTTAAGAAATAGTATCAGGAGCATGACTAGGTCACAGACATGAGGGAAAAACCTAAGTCAAATGCCAGTTCAACAGATAGAGACGCATTATGAGGAACTCCTAGTCCTCAGACACGAACTAAATCAATACTGCTTCATGACTATTTATAAATCAGTACAATTGCAGCTTCTCCCAGGCCCCTTCCCACCCAACCATAAAGAACTGCCTCCATCAAGGCAGCCTCTTAAGACAAGGAAAATACTCTTAATCCAACAGTGAAGCACACTCCCTGTGTTGTTTTCAACATGCTTCACTTGCAAAAAGATACAGAACCAAAACTAGAAACTAATTGCTGAAATGACTTAAATCCACACCTAGTTACACCAGTATTTTGAACAAGCACAAAGACTGAATGGAGAAAGATAAAACCTACAGGACCTAGTTTTTGGTGCCTCGATCTCTTTCACAAGCCGTGACATAATTCCCAGAATAAAACTTGCCTGTCATAAGAAATACTCTAAACTTACAGGCACCTCAACTATCATTCTAGAAAAGAGGATTGGGAAAGGTCTCTTTGGCCAGAGAAGGACTGAGGGGCTACTCACAAAGAATCGCCTACTTACCCATCAGATTTGAGTTCGTGAAAGGTGTTGGGGACAATCCTTCACTGGGCCCTAATCGACTATCATTCAAGTGATCCCCATAATGAGAGCTCTCTGTAAAACCCTACGAGGGAAAAAAACAACACAGATGTTTAAGAGATTATCTGCAGCCCTACTGGGTGAGTTCAATGACACCCTCCTAACTAAATGCAGAGACAGTGGGTCATTTTCCCTGAAGTTGGTTTTATGTCTGCATACCATGGAAAGAAACAAACAAACCATAGATGTTGCTGTCTCATCAAATTTTAAAGCCCCCAATAATAACTAGGGCAGGGGTCCGGGAGGTGAGATCAGGTCCCCAGAGGGCTTCTATCAGGCCCGCAGTGGAACTGGCTGTCTTCTGCTTCTTCTTCCCGTTCTGTTGCTGCTGAGTCATCATAGGTTTGCAGCTTACAGATACACACCTGAACAGCATACTCAAGATTGCAACAGCAGACATTTTGATGCAATAATTCAGAGCAAGAGGTGTAAGTTATCAGACACTGTTAAATAAACAAAATA